TTTCCTGGTGGTTCACCATTTTTGTTGTTTTTACAACCAAACAAACTTTGCTTTAATTTATCGGAGGACCTCCTATATTTCCCTTGTGCAATTTAGTTTATTTTGCCACTTTTCAGTGTTCACACTCAAAACCTCTTAAGAATAAAAATCTAATATGGAATTCTAATTTCCTGCATGCTGTTTGTATCAATAGCATACTTTTGGTGATGGTATATAGCACAGAATGCACAGTAGTAATAGATCATGTAAAATTGGGACACAGCTTTTATCTTTCATATATCATAAGACAAACCCTGGCTGCCTCCTAAATCAGTCCTGCTTCTTGGCGGTTGCTTAGTAACAGATGTCAGCGTAGCTTCAGTGTGTTGGACATTTCATCATGTTGCTCATTTTGGTGTCAATTTTATTTGATAATGTTGCGTAGAGTGAGTGAAAAGAGATAGAGGAGCAGTGAGAAGAAGTTGACTGAGGGTTTTGAAAAAGATTTGGATCAGGGCTGAATGAGCCCAGTAGGTTTAGTAACAGAATGACAGAGCATATATATAATTTGCCATGTCATGATTCTCGCCTCCCTCCAGCCGTCTGGAATGTGGCTCATATCAGATCCTCCTGATTCATTAGAGCTGCTGCACAGTCACTGGTTGGTCAGTGCTAACAAACATGTAAAGGCCTTTTCATGGTTGTGCTTCAGAGCTACGATGTAAGTATGCAGGTAGCCTACGCCGTTGTGAGCATTAATAGTTAGGAGTAGGTGTGTGTGCGTGTCGCTCTGCAATTACACTGCCGAAACACTAGTGGCTGTAGAGTTCCTATGCTACTGTGTTGAGTTTCTTCCAGTTTCCAGTCTGCTTATTTACAAATTCTCTCGGGTCACTGTTTATTTCAGAACAATAGTGAGTGTTATCATGATGGAGTTGAAGCTGATAGATGTTGAAGAACAAGAGCTTTTTCTTAAAGAACTGTAACGAAGTACAGAAAGACGTCGGAGGAGATGGTATGTACGACCATTAAACCGAGCAAAGCAGGAGTAGGGAAATACTGTCAGCCAGAAATGCGTTTCTACCAAACGGACCAATCACAGTTGTTATGGTTACATTTTTAGGGAGGTGCACTTCAGGGTACAGCATAGAGTTCTGCGTAGGGTACACTGGAACTCAGTGTAGATTCGACTCAGAAGCATGAATTCGGCTAAAAGCAGTGCATTTGCTCAGTGGTATAAAAAATTGACCTTTGTCTGTCAAATAAAGCCATGAAGCACTGTAATCATGTGGATTGATGAATGTTCTTTTTGGTGGAACTGTTGTAGTTATAAGTTAAGTTAAGTAATTAGTCATTTAGTGAACATAAAAGTTAAATGATCATTGTGATAAGGGATCAATGTTATTAGTAATTTATGGCTAATCTGAGTGTTCTTGCTGCTAATGGTTGCATTTATCAGTGATTCCTTTATTCGGCCCGCTCTCTACATCAGAAACCCCAAAGAATTACCGTTGCCCCAGAGCCTAATTTTTGTCGTGAAGATTGAGTCCTTTTTCAGCTCCCTCCTTCTGTTTACGCCTCTACCCTCATCTGCTTATATGCTTCTTTATTGCATCTGCCAAAGAGATTATGTTTTCATTGCTTTTTGTCTGTCTGATTACGCAAAAATTCACTGAACCAATTTTATTGAAACTTGGTGGATGGGTGCGGGAAAAAACCTCATTACCTTTAGGAGCAGATGTGATTAAGATCTGGGATTTTTTTTTTTTTACTTTCTTTGACATTTATAGGACATTTTTAGACATTTTTGTGAAGTTTGTAAGGAAGAATTAATGGATCTTAATAAAAAATATCATGAAAATTCATTGATGTCTGAGTGTGAGCAATGTGTGGGGCTTGATTGAAGTTTAGGATTGTTTGGGATCTTTGTCGGGGGCGGTGCGCTACAGAGTGCAGTTCTGGCTTTATTCTTTTTCCTTTTCATCCATTCTCTTCCACCTTAACGCTCCCTTTTTGTCATATTGTGGAGGGAGAGGGAGACGCTCATGAAATTGGACTTGGATCACTATATGTAAAAATCTCATTACTCTACATCTTGGCACACTTATCTCACTTAATTTATAAAATTGGTCAGGGTTGGGTCAGAAAGAAAGACCACATTATTCAGGTGCTATTGTCACTTCCAGGCATGCTGTAGTAAAATGATTCTCACTTATACATGACTTGAATAATTTAGTGCAACATTGTGTTCTCTTCACAAATTTATTGAGTAGTAATCTTGTTTTTTTTTCCCTCTCTTTTCAGATATTTCCAGAATATCATACTACACTGGTGAGTACAAATCCAACCGTGTTTTTCTTTTTAGTAGAAGTGTCTTTAAACCAATCACAGTTGTCTTGTGTGGGGCTAAGCCCATGCAGGAAACAAGAGGGAAACTTGTTTGAGTGGAATATTGGATGTGAAGGCAATCACTATCATTAATTTACATAAAAAATGTAAAAGAGAAGTTCATTGTGTGGTTGCACAGTCCCAATGATTGTAGAAATTTGCCATTTTTAGAGGGTAGGTTGCAGTTTGGAGTTGGTTGTCGTTGTTGTCAACAGGCAGGAAGTGGAATGAGATGAGAACGTCATGTGAGATACACAGCCATATGCAGATGCAGGCAAAAAATGTATAACATACACAATGAGATAACAAATAGTACAACAACACAAAACCTCAAGTTTGTTTCTACAGTGTGTGTGAATTCACGCATCAGCCTTTTGTTTGTCAGAAGTTGTTGTAATGCTTTGTAACTTTCAATATGAAGAGAGATTATGTCAGCCACTGAAATTCAGATGACATCACCCATTCAATTCAATTTTTCATGGTAATTGAAAGATGTTTTATAAGACAAAAAATGATTTTGTCTTAGTCTTGACTTAAACAAGGCCAGTGTTACTGTTTTATGGTGTGGATGGAGGTAGAGCTGAATAATATCTGAGTTATATTTAAGTCATTTCATGGTCCTTAGCTCCAACCATGGAGACCCATGGCTGTTGCTAGGTAACTGCTTATCCTTTGTCTTCCAGCAGGATGTTTATTTGGAGCCAGGAGATTATCATTCCTGAGAACGACCGAAACACAATTTACATATCTTAACCATAACCCTGACCACTCTGAGGTGCCAAAGTTGAAGTCAAGTTCGAGGTTAACTGAAACTTATAATGAGATGATGCTCTCCACGTTTGGTAGAAAATAAAAGCAGCATGGTACCCAGTGTACAGAGTGGTTAAAGGGAGAATCTGGGACCTTTAACAGCTCAGGGAAAACACTCATTCTCTGTATTGCTGATGAAAATATTGAACACTTGTTCAGTTTGAATGGAGAGGATAGTGAACATAGCATTTAGCCTTTGTATCTCCATCAGTACAGAATTTGTGTCATGGTGATAAGACTTAACACACAAAAGAAGACATCTGCAATTGTGGTGGGCTAAACAATCTATAAGTGCCACTTGTGGTTTAGGAGCCAGTATGTCAGTGTAAGCTGAGGACAATATCACAATACACATTTCTTCAATTTCCATAAAGCAAAAGGCTTTCAATAGTTTTGTCTTTAAATGTTGATCATTTCAAATCGCTCATTCCCAATGCTTGCACCAGATCGTTGGTGTATTGGTGCTGAGTGCAATTTATGGCTCAAATAATTTGATTGCAGATTTTTCATAATGTTCCATTATGCATCCTAGCCATTTCATTACACATGTTTCTGTTTGAGACCATTTTCAAAAAGTCAAACAAAGAACCCTACAGCCTCATTCATTTGAGCAAGTGCTCCAACAACAACGTATCAGTTGGTCAAAGAGATGAGGTCAAGCTGGATGAATGGGTCCATAAAATACCAGAACCTGATTCGCTTCAGTTTTCAAAGGTACATACAAAGGATGTGGTGCTGCTGAATCCGATTATAAAAAGCTATCGGAAATAATTTGAGGGTTCATGGACAAATGACATATTTTGTTTCTTATCATTCCTATCCGAAGGAAAACCTGAAATTTAAATGACCTACATCAGGTCATTGTTGTCAGCGTTTGGCAGCTGGAGGCGTATAGCTGTAAAGTGTTCTCGACCATCTTGTGCTCTGGCAAATCAGACAAATTGAATGTTAGAGTGCTTTACTGCCAATGAAGAACTGCTGCAGAGGCAGGTGAAATGTGTGTAAATAGGAGACGAGGGAGGACAGAGGGCAGCAGAGACCTGTGGCCTGTAGAGACGGACAGAAAGAGACAGACAAGTTACGAGTTGTAAGGGGTCAAAGGGTGGAATGTATTTTTTCAGTAGCTAAGCTCTAATCTGTGTGTGTGCGTGCGTGTGTGCGTGTGTTCCTGTTTATTAAAGCTGTACTATTGATTGAACAGTGTCATCCTATATTATATTTATAAGTACTGTCCTACCAGTTTACTCTCTTTTAACTGCATCAAATCCCAATTGCAAAATGTTTGTCTCTCCTCCCTCCTTCTCTGCTTTCCCTCGCCTTCTCTGCCCTACATGAACACGCACACCCCCATTCTGCCCGTTAGTGAGGGGAGCAGCTTTTTTTCGCAGCGTGGTCACAGCAGCCTATACTGCACAGCAGAGGAGAAACACTCTGCTCACATATGCGCAAACTCACTTTGAGTATCTCACACACACATTCACATATATATGTGCACAATCACGTACCTGCTTACCCACACGCACATGCATTCTTGTGTACATACACTTTCTCTCTCTGGCTTAAACACATACTCTCTCACTATACATTCTCTATGCTGCACTCATTTGACTGCTCAAGGATTGCACTAGATATACCGTGTGTGTCTGTGTGTGTGTGTGTGTGGCTGCAGCAGTGTGTGTGTGTGTGTTTAAGGTTGGAAATGATGTTGTGATCTAGTTGCTCTTCCGCTGCTGTAGAGGAAAGCCTGAGATGCCAGACTGAACAATGCACATATGACTGACTTCGATAAGGATTTAATGCTTATTTTTTTATGTCCAAGAGACTCTGTCTGTGACATTCTTTTCTCTTCATATTTATTCGTCATCCTGTCTGACTGAATCAGAGCTTTTTTTTTCTTCTTCTTTCCTGTTTTCTCACTCCACCTCGCCCTTCAGGACGCTGTCGCTTTATGTCTCTCTCTGACATCAGACACCTGCTATGACCTGGTTAACTCCTACAGGCTCAGAGCATTGTGGGAACGCTTCAGAGGATGTGGGGGATCTTCTTCTCCCTTGGATTTCTCCGCTCTCTTTCTCTCTCTTCATCCCGCACTCTTTATTTCTTCCCTTTTCCTAGTCTTATTATTGTTTTCTTTTTGATTGTCTTTCTTTTTTCATTATTCTGTTCTTTCACAGCTCATCTTTTAGTCTCTCTTTGCCTCATCTTTCTCCTTTGTAGATTCTTCTTTCTTCCTTCATTTTTTCTGTCGTTTTTCCCTCCTGCGTCGGTCACTCTCATACCTCACACTCACTATGCTCCATTTCTCTACGCCCCTCTTTGCCCTACATTTTCATTTTATCCTCACTGATGCCAGTTTCTTCTTTCTGTCATCCGTCTTTCCATCTCCTTGAGACAACATAGTGGATTTACTGACCAAACTACTACTTCTGTTGGAAAATGCTGCTTTGCTGTAATTACATGGAGTCTTACTTTGCCAGCAAGGGCTGTCAGCGTTATTTTGTAACCTGCGACTTGAGATTCATGGCTTCAGGGCGGCTGCCTTCTTTGAATTTCACATCAACAATTGATTAATTGAATCAGCAGCCCCACAGAAGACCTGCATTTGATATTTAGTGGGGATTTAGTTGACTGCAGCAGAGCTTAATTGGAAGAGAATCTTCGCCCGACCACAGAAGCCTGGCTTGAATGTCTTGTTTTGTGAAGCTTACACCCTGCTGAAGTGTCCTTGGGCAACTTACTGAATCAATCTCCCAGACTGGAAGGAGCAAAGTTAGAGCTGCCTTGCAGGGATCATTAAATATCGCATTGCATAATGGTAAAGGAATTTTGTGGGATTAAAGGTCATAACTTAAACTGGGACGGATTGATGACTGAAACCTGGACCCCAAGCCACTTCCACAAGTAATATTATGTTTCAGCAAGACGTAGAAGAGGAAGTCACACTCCTGTGACTTGGATTCCTGCATCAGATACTGTACTTTTTTTGTGAATGCAGTTTTCAGTATGGATCATTTCTGCATGCTGGACCATTGTAAGAGGCAGAGTCAGACCTTTATCTCAGTGTTGTTTAAAACATTTTAAGCATCTCTATCAGCTGGATTTGGACCTGGATGATCAATGTCTGCATCTATCGCTGAGTGACGCAGAAGTGGAGTGGATGCTAGAGAGTTGTCAGTTATGGACTTTTGTTTTCTCAACCTCTTGTGGGTTTACATGCTGTGTCACCACATTTTATAGTACAAAGAATATTTGACATCCTCCGTTTCCTCTTACTGTTCTTTCTGCTTTACTGGAATTATAACCCTGCAGTAAACTGGCTCTGATTGAATTTCTTTTCTATTGCATTTCCTGTGGCTGTTTCGTGGCTAAAAGTCACACAACCACCCCTGTAACTGTGCTGTGACAGCCCTGGTACCAGCACAGCAAGTCTCACTTTCAACCTTTTTAGGAAATATTTTTGGATATCTCAATCACCAGTTTATTTGGATTGAAAAACTTAGGAATTTTCCTTAGTTGCAAACAAGCCACATCAGCAGCAAGTCTTGCATTCTATGCTGTATTCGGGGCCCTGGACCTTTGTCTGGACCTTTTTTCTGGACCCTGTGGCCGGACCTGGAACTGTCCTCTCACAGATCAAATGGAAAACAGCGGCTGTATCCCTCTCTGCTGGAGCAAGGGGGCTTGCATCTACGCACAGCACCCCCTACCAAGTATGTATTTATAAGAATATATATACTGCACATACCGCAAACTAAATGTACACCTCAGTACTGGTGTGACAGTTTCATTGATCTAATTTGTATAGTTATCACTTTAGGTTTTGGGAGACCTTTTGTTCATAAGTTATAATTCATATTCATATAATTAGTGAGAGTATAAAACAGTCAAAGTAAGGTGCTGCATATTCAAGCTTTGTTTTAAGTTTTCCTAGCAGCTCTATGTTCAGTGCATCTACAGCATGACGGGTTGCTGAAACTGCCCAGTGTGTGCGTAATTTGGTGCATCAAGCACTGCAGGATATTAGTACGATTATTTCTCCAGTGGCAGCAACATATCACCTCATGTTTGTTGTGTGAGCTCATAGGGAAGCAGATGTTAACAGAATGTAGAGTGGCGTAGAGCGACAATTTGCT